CTAACCTTTGGTTAGACATCTCTGCCAGAGGCAGAACAAAGACTGATTTATTTCTTGCAAACTCGTTCTGCCAATACAAACATTGAAGATTGTTTTAACGCTTCCATCAACACATCTCCTAAAACTCGCCTCATATGACTGGACGGGCTTATCAATTTGGAAAGTTCAACCTACATATGACATTTAAGAACCTGCTTGCATTGTTTCACTTTCTCAAGTAATTAAAGGATATATATGAATTGTCCTCGCTTTCATTGTCATAGCTGGTCCTTTTCAAACATGGTTGGCAAGGCTTTACTCCATTCCATTGTTTACTTATCCTACTGAATAACTTTTTTAATTTGCACCAAAGCCTATATATCTACATTGTCAGCAATTTGTCTCTAAATGCAGAGACCCCCCACCACTACCCCAATTAGGCCTCACACCTTTATTATTGAGGCCGAGGGGTGTTGCCCACATCTTGCCTTGATCTTTCAGCATCCGTTCAATATCTGCAATTTAGTTGTTTCTTACTACATATATATATATATCTATTCTCTTAACTATCATGACAGAGGAAAAGGGAAAAAAAAACTTTCTTCGCCCATGTTGCCATGTTGGTATATTTATTCTTCTCTAGACGCCTAACCTTCCCTTGAGAAGGATGCAATGAATGTCTATTACCATGGATGAACAAAAAACTGAGTAGAGACAAACAACTTAACCAAACAAAGGGTTTATTGAAAACTATACTAGTGTAGTTCTAACTACGATCGAGAAACTAACAATATGCCTTTAGGTACGCTTTTATTGCCTTTTGGGGTATCGTTGAAACCCAGAAGTGAGTTCTTTTAATAAAATAAAAAATGTAGCATAATGAAATTTTAACTAGGTTGATACAATCTTTTGTAGTAATATAAGTCTGGCTATTAAATTTCACCTTTCAGAAGAAACATAAAGAATTGGAGAATAGACAGAGTTATCTCCAAATATGTAACCATAACACTGAGGCAAAAGGCAAAATAAAAGGTAATCATTTTGAGCTTTATTACGTGCATCAAATAACTGCAATGATATCATAACTTCGACAACATAGTCTTTCCAATTTCAGTCAAAAAGAGTGGAATATCTAACAATCCTCCTGTCTCCTCTTTTACCCATATCTGGGGTTACTCAAATAGGCAAGGTGAAAATGGATATTTTGAAAAAAAATTCGTCTTACTTAAACTAGAAACAGATATAATGGAAATTATTATAAAAATTGTATGAGTTGCATAAAATTAAAAGAAAGCAAAAGGAAAACAATACCAAAGATCTACCAGAGAAAGAAATAACCCTAGAAGACAGACTGGGGCACGGTATACTTTGAGGAGAGTCATTTAGGCTTAGGTGTGAAAGCTTTAAAATTTATAACAATTTAGAGATTTATATCAAATATTTCAAAATGTAAATAGAAGAGAAAGAAAAATAAAAAGGTGACGTGGCTTGACTCTCTGAGATCACTTATCAAAAGGAAGCAACACTGCTTACGATGTTCAACAAACCATAAACAATCATGATTATTGAATAGATACAAAACTTTGAGGTGCAGTCAGAGTGGGCTCAGGAGGGTGCCATAAGTCATAAGTAAGTTGATTTTAGGTGCGGCGACCTTGAGGTTTAGCTTTGATCAGCATTCACATTGTGAGGGGTGGGGAGTGGGGACTGCTTATTCCATCAATTGATTCCTTTCATGGGTCCCATTTGAAGGCAAGAGACTACACAAATTATTGTCTTTTTCCGTTTATTGAGAGGGAAACAAGTGAGGATCTGATTACTTTGGCCTCTCAAAAAAGAAACAGACAAGGGAATTAAACGATTCACTGAATAAAGACTGTAAACTGAAACTCCCATAAATATAATTATATTTTTATAAGGAAGAGAGAGAGAGAAAGACATGCTTTCCTGCCATTTTAGAACAGCTGAGGAGGTGGAGGAAGATCGTTTCTCTTTATGCGGACGGAAAAGGATATTTAAAAAGAAACCCACGTCACTCTCACTCCTCTACGTTGTTCCCCCTTTTCTGTCTACATCTCTTGCACTTGAAGTGGTTTGTATACTCTTGAGATATATAGTCTCACATTGGTTGTTGTATGTGCAGTTAATGTGAAGTTTACAAAGTTTTGGGCACTTTCACATTTTGAGCTAGTTTTTGGGGTGGTGTATCCCAAGGTTCTTTACATGGTATCAGAGCCTCGCCGCCCCCCCCCCCACTTTCTCTTGTGGCGTTTCTTAGCACAGGTAGGCTGGGCCTGTTGCATTGTCCACTCATCAAGTCCAATGGGCTCTCGTTTAGGGGCGTGTAGAGATATATAGTCCCACATTGGTTGTATGTGCAAGGGCCTGTTGCATTGTCCACTCTTCAAGCCCAATGGGCTCTCGTGTGAGTGGCGCTTGTTGAGATATATAGTCTCACATTAGTTGCACTTGGACACTCCCACCCTTTGAGCTAGCTTTTGGGGTGGTGTATCCTAAGGTTCTTTACATATATCATAACATATATATATATATATATATATATATATATATATATATATATAGAGGGCTTTCATTTCGTCCCGTTGCTTCAAGAAATTTTTCTTCCTGCCACGCAAACAGACAAGGAAAATAATAAAGAGGAAGATACACATTATTCAATGACTTTGCCTTGTCCATAGTGTTGCATGACAAGCAATTTTGTCCCAGTAACATATTCTCATTTATCCCATATATATATGGCTTTAACAGCTCTCCTGTTGCCGCAGATCAGAAAATTTACAACAACACTTATTTTCATAGTTCCGTATCTTGGAAATTTTTTTTTTTATTTCAAGATCTGGCTCCTTATCTTATGTAAATATATTTGCTGCAAGTTTTTTCATCAATAGTGACAGCAGAAATGAGGAACCCTATATATATATATATATAGGGCAATGAAATTCTTATGTTGCATTATATGCATTCTATTTCCTGCAGACACAGCTAGTTGGGTCCCACATGAGAAAAAATAAAAAATAAAATAAAAAAACGGGAGGCGCTACTTTCGAAGGGACTACCGGAGAAAACAAATTCGTTCCTATAGCATAAGATTTGATTTTCTCATATATATATATATATATATATACACGATCATTTTTTCAACTATCATAGATAACTTATTGAACCCAAAATGACATTGTTATGGAAATCAAAGTATTTTTGTAATTATAATTTATTTCAGGATCATAGTAGTCTTTCTCATTATAATTTTTTAATCTTTTAACCCAAAAAGACATTGTTTTAAGAGCGAATGTAGATAACTTATCTATATTCATTTTAAAAACTTTAAAGCACACATATATATATATATATGTGTGTGTGTGTGTGTGTGGATTTAATGTTTTTACAGTGAATATAGATAAGTTATCTAAATTCGCTCTCAAAACGACATTATTTTGAGTTTAAAAATTAAAAAATTATAATAAAAAAGACTATTATAATCATGAAATAAATTATAATTACAAAAATACTTTGATTTTCGTCTCAAAATGACGTCATTTTGGACTCAATGTAAATAACTTATCTACATTGACGGTAGAAAAAGCGAACCCTATATATATATATATATATATATATATGGAACAAGATATCAAAATAAGATCCACTAGGGCTAGCCTAGTGGTGTGGGTGTATGTAATAGGGTGTGTGAGTGTGTGGTTGTGTGTTCTATTCCCTGTAACCTACACACAAAAAAAGATATCAAAATAAAAAGTTTAACATTAAATCTTAGAGATAAGATATTGTTACTACCAATTAGTATTACTATTAATATCACTATCACTTTATTTCACCGTTAAATTGATTATATTGATCCAACGGTTATATTTATTTTCACCTTTTGTATGGTTATAATTTCTTATATTTAATATTTTTACAATAAATATAACGAATCATAATCATTCAAAGATAAAAATAAATATAAAATATTAAATATAGAGAGAAGAAAGAAGGTTTTCTAAAGTTAAATTATAACCATTAGATTCATTTAATGGTAAAATAAAGTGGTGGTGATATTGATGATTACACTAATTGGTAGTAACAATATCCCATCTCTAAATCTTGATAGTTAATTTCTATCAATCAAAAGGTTATAATTGATTGGATCACATTTATTAATTAATTAATAATTTTCAATAAATTAAAACCATAAGATTAACAAAAATCAATAACTAAAATTTAGTATCAAATTTTTTAGTAATTTGATACAGCTTTCTATATATATACGACAATATTTTGACAGCCAGTTTTACAATATATATATAGGGATAGGATATTGTGACACCCAAGTTATGTTACACCCATGTGACACCCAGTCAATCTCACCGTTAGATCGCTTATGTTGATCCAACGGTTATATTTATTTCCGTCTTTGTATGGTCATGATTTCTCAAATTTAATATTTTATATTTATTTCTACCTTTGTATGGTTATGATTTTCCATATTTAATGCTTTCACTTTAAATTTGGGAAATCATGACCATACAAAGATGGAAATAAATATAACCGTTGGATCAACATAAGCGATCTAACGGTGAGATTGACTGGGTGTCACATGGGTGTAACATAACTTGGGTGTCACAATATCCTATCCCATATATATATATATATATATATATATATATATATATATATATAGAGGAATTGTTTTTCTTATGTAACATAAGATAAAATAATTTTTCTACACACACATATAAAGAGATGGGACCCACTTATATTTTTTTTCTCTCCTATATTCTCTTTCCTCTCTCTTCTAAGAAAACAATTCCCCTATATATATATAGGGTAAAGTGTGTGTCATTTTAAAGGATGTAAAATTGTATCATTTTAAGAGAGAGAAAGACATAGATAAATGAGGAGAGTTGACAAAAATAAATAAAAGTGTGGATCTCACCTCTCATATAATGAAATGAAATGTTATAAGTTGTGTCATTTAAAAGGATTAACATTTTCCCCGTATATATACTACAAAATTTTGACAGCCAATTTTACAATATTGTTCCCCTTTCTACGCCTTTCATGCGAGTTTTCGCTCATGACACGAAGAAACTGAAGGAAGAAAAGCTAAAAAGGGCTATGGCAGGCTTGTTGAGGCAGAAGAGTTGAGCTCTGGTGCAAATAGCCGAGTATGAAACATTTTAATAACACGTGCATTGTGTTTGCGTGAGACAACAGCAAATTTTTCGCATCATCCCAATTCACAAGGGAGTATTGGCAAAAGACCCACAACGTGTTGCTGCTTTGTGCTGGCTTCCGAAAGGTCTAACCGCTCTGATTTCATAAGTGGGCCAAAGTGCTGTTTCAGGGGGGCCCACATCAAGGGCAAACTTTGAATATAAATTTCACCTATATGATAAAGACTGTCGAGTACCAGCATAGAACAACATTATTTAATCATTTAATATGATATTTAAATGCACAGGACAATAATAATCAATATAATCATTCAAAAGATGAAGTCATGATATTTATTATATTTATTTAGTTATCAGACACGTGTATGATACTGACAATAAAGAGAATCACTTTTCAGCAAAACTATTTTGTCAAAGAGCAACAGTGATGCTGTTAAACTATCTTTGAAATCAAAGTTGCATAAATCAGAGGTACCACAAAATCCGGACCACACACCCTCGCACATAACCAACCAATCAGACCGAAGATTCCTGAGATGAGAGCCCTCGAAGATTTTGAATATCCTGGAACTATCAACTATTTATCTACCTTAGCTTTTTTCTTTTTGTTACAGATTGATTTTTCACTTGCCACAGCCAAAAAGCATGCCAGTCTCCACTTCTCAAAAGGCATCTTCCTATTCTTTGCTATTACTTTACACTCACATTCAGAGATAGCAATTTGCAACCCACTTGTCACTGCCCACCCAATTTCATTCTAACTTGAAGAAAAAAAAAGAGTAGCTTCATAACAACACCATCAATAAAAGAGGGACACAATCTTGAATTAAAAAAATTGAGCTGCCATACACGTACATCCTCATCCTCCCCAGCATAGATACGTCAAAAAGATGTTTACTGCCTTCTAGACTAGAAGACAAAATTAAAATTAAAGATAGCAAGTAACGAAGAGAACACTAACGTAAACTCCATTACATCCCCAAAAGAAGGAAAGGTGGTTCTTGCCTGCCCTTTCCTCCACCACCTTTAATCCTTCCATTTCCTGCCAACAAGGAAGTGTGTTCAAAAGCATCCACCACCAGCCCGCCCCCCTCCCCAGAAAAAATAAAATAAAATAAAAACCAACCACCTCTTCCGGAAATAAAAACCAATCGAATTGGATTAGACTTCAAGATCAACCTTTGTCAGATTATAAACACAAGTGTACAAATGATTTACTACACACTTCAGAGGCACATTGCATAGGTTTGGCTGATTTCCCATCAAAAATTGCGGAATCTGAATTCATTTATCTCCATTGGCCGTGTTCTACTCAAAGTTTGCATCTTGGCGCCAAACATGAATGGCATCAACAGTCTCCTCACATTCGCAAGACACCATCTTTCACTTCAAAAGTCCCATCTAATTCACCTTTGCTTACCATGGGCACAGGGTGCAACGTAAGGAAAACAAGGGACATTCTACTCACCCGCAGGTTGTTTTTGTTCTGCTGGCTTCACTTGAACCGCAGAGGGAACAGTATGAACATAAGTAAAACCGGCAGGAACAAACTGATGGTGATTTCCAGATGGTGGCATTGTAGCAAACTGTGCTGGATGCAGAAGACCCGGCATAGGTAAGCCACCACTTTTTGTATTGTTCGCAGTGGCACCATTAGAGGGAGAAGTGCTAGAAGAGCTCTGTCGTTGCATTTGCTCGGGGCCGCGCCTTTGAACATAATACCCACTTGCAGCAGAAGTAGAAGAGGGAGAGCAATTAGATTGTGAAATTTGAGGATGTATATAAGGATTTGAGAAGACCAGCTGGGCCTGTTGTAATGTTTGCTTTGATATTTGTTGCTGCTGCTGCTGTTGTTGCATTTGAGGTTTAGCCCCAGTACTGGAAGATGGAGTTAGCTGAGGACCACTGAGGATTGATGGCACATTCCGACCACCAACAGGCGAGGATTTACGACTTGGCACAGCCTGAGAGTTCTTGGCTTGCTGAGAGGCTAAGGACGTTTGACTCGTCTTAATATTGGTTGACGTTGATGTTGTCCTTGGACTACCAGCATTTTTGGACATCGATGAGGTTGTGGGCGAGCCAGCCATAACTGGAGGAGACGGAGAACTTGAAGGTTGCACTTGTACAGTGGATGATTTCGGATTAGCTGCAAAAGATATTTGAGTGTGGGCTTGCTGGGTACGAGCCTGCTGCTGAGGAAGACTTTTGACTGATGGTGGTGGTGGTGAAGTCATAGATGGGGAAGACTGCGAAGTGGTTGCCCTTACAGTGTTCTTCCATTGAGGTGACTGAGCAACTGTGGTGCTGCTTTGTACAAGGTTTTGAGGAAAAACAGATACAGCATTAGAAAACTTGGGGGGCATTGATGATGTAGAAGGAAGATGATCAGAGTAGACACTGCCATTGCTTGTTGATGGTGTCTTACTTCGAGCAGCTGCAACTGCAAATTGATGCTGTTTCTGAAGCTGAATATATTGCTGCTGATTTCGTTGCAGATGTTGCTGAGAACTTGCTGAACTGGTGTTGATGCCAGCAGGCATGACAGGAGCAGCAGTCCGAGAAGAAGCAGAACCAAGGCCGAGTGTTCGTGCAGAGCTATCAATGACATTGTTGCCAGTTAATGCAGTTACTGGAGGATCAGACACATCTGGCCTTGAGAATGCAATAGATTGCCCGACTGTAGCTGGGATTTTCCCTCCCGTGGATTTTCTATCTTCTTCTGGGTTAGAAGAATCAGACACAGCTTTCCCTTCTTCAGGGACACAATAATTCTTCTTCTGCTGAGAATTGGCAGCTTGTGCACCGGCCATTATCTGATAGTTATGGTGACTCTGTGCAATAGATGAGAGGTCAAGGCCAGGGGCGGCAGTTGCACCATTGACGGACGCAAATGACATGGCAAATGCTTGAGACATTTCAGCTGTAGCCTTTGGACCAGGGTGCTGTTGAGCTTGCGTCTTTTCACTATGACTACCATTAGAACCAGTACCATTAATTGATGCAGGTGTCATCAAAGCAAAGTTTGGCGTCTGCACTGGCATTGCAAAATTTTGTCCATAAATACTCATGGTAGTGCGAGTGAGACGACTATCCGCAGTAGAGGGACTACCTTCACCACCCATTTCGGATTCAATTTGGCGAGCTGGATGAGAAGCATTATGATTCTGCAGTTGCTGCCTCTGCTGTTGCTGCTGCAACTGTAGAAGCTGCGATGGTTGACTCTTATTGACATGAAAGCCTTGCATGCCTCCAACAACACCACTACCACCACCATTGGAGCCACTACCATTAGGCTTTTGTTGATTCTGTGCATGCTTTTGGGAAGAGGAGGATCCAGTAGAAATACTGGTGTTTTGATGGCTCTGCTGTGATTGAGGAGGAAGTTGCTGCTGCGGAATCTGTGAAGGATGGAGCATTTGAGAAGAATAGAATGACCCATTGAAGAATGGCAATGCCTGTGCATGGGCTCCTCTGTATGCAGGTGGACCACCAACGTGTGCTGGTATTGGAAATGGGTAAGCATTATTAGGCAAAATGGCCAAGTATTGAGTTTCATTGCCGGGCATATTTGGATAGCTAAAGCTCATTGGTGGTGCAGCAGCCACCCCTGTACCCGAAGCATTGAGCGGAGCTGAATTAGAAGCAGATGCTGATCCTCCACTGTTTGTGCCAGGCAAACACTTAGCAGATCCCGGTCGAACAGAGGCAGCAGCAGCTTGCTGCTGGTTCAGTGGAAAGATGAATGCAGGACCATGCTGAAATTTATGACAGAGCATTAATTAACAAAAGTATAAATTTCAAAAAGAAAAACGGAATGCATACCAAAAACAAAGCTTGCTCATAATATTACCAGGAAATAAAACAAAAAACATACCAATATATTATTAGGTGCTCCGGAAGGCAAGGCTTGCTGAAGCAAGATTTGCTTTCTTTGAGAACTATCCAAGTTAGTAGGCTGAGAGCCTTTATCCTTCCCAACATGACCTGGAAACATGCCAAGACCGTGATCTTTGTCTAGAGTAGGGTTTGGAGCCCTGCTGGGAACATTAGCATGCAATTCAGTGGAGGGCACAACATTAAGATTACAGGGCTTTGCCCCGTACAAAGCTGCAGAACCTGCTGCTGCTGGCCAGAATGGATTCATCCTCGCAATTTGCTGGTGATATAATATATTGCGAGCAATGTAGTAATGGGTTGCACACTTTTTGGGCCGAGGCTGATTAGAAAGTAGATGGGGTGGCTGTAAAAGTTTTTATTAATAATGAATTCAAGGGGGACGAAACGTAATGAACTTTTTTTTTATTTAAAATCAGCAAGTTTCAAGAGAATAAACTAAAATGAACATATACCGGTATAGCTGCAGAAGTCACTGTAGTCCCATCCATGGATACTACTCCTTGCAGAGATGTCATATATCTGCTAATGGGAAAAGAGTCATACCCCAAGAGAAAAGCAGCATTCCCACTAAATACTACAAATACCCAAAAGAACAGACAACGGATAAGAATTAATCCAGCCATACCCCATGGGAGGAAGCCCGCCAGGCCAGCTGGGAACAGACAATGGAAGAGGCACGGAATTGGATAAAACTGTAAGAAGGAAAAAAAAAACGACATAAGCCACCGTTATCATTAAAAGATGGAGAAAGAAAGCAAATAGAACAAGTATTTTCATTTTTCAACTTCAAATTGAACAAACCATTTTTCTCTGGGTTAGGCTGTTGCTGCTGCCTCTGGATGTTGTTTTGATGTTGCCTCTTGTTAACTAAGCTGCCATTTCCACTAGTATCCACCCTATTAGCCTTCTCCACATCAAGCTGCAAGACGGTACCTCTTTCCTTCCGCATGATGTCCGGTTTATGAGACTCAGCTTTGTCCATTTCCACGGCTGCAACCTCTTCCTTACTCATTCTCAGCGATTTATCATCTTCCTTCGTCACAGGCTTAACTTCCTGTAAACCAGGCACAGATATTTAAGTACTTATCAGCCAGCAACGAAGAAAGGGCTACAGATGCACGCCATGGCCCACTTACCATTTCAGGGTCTATTACCAAAGGTTTAGGATCTCCAGCCACAAAAGTAATCTCCACATTTCTTTCGGGAGAAGATCTCAGTGGAGGAGGCGGCAGCGCCTGAAAAACCAACCAGAAAAAAATAATAAAAAAAATGATAGAGAGAGGAAAGAGAGAGAAGTTGAAAAAGCAAGAAAAAGATAAGCACCATCAGATCTATCTGGAACTTCTCTTCTCGCTGGTTTTCACTCTCAGACAAAGTTGTATTCCTGTAGAACCAAGAAAATGAACAAAGCAAGATCAGGATTCCCATTCAAACAGAACCCACAAAAACAAGACTTGAGCTCATAATGCTCACGCTTTAGTCGATTTCACATCCTCGCGATCATGATCTAATTTGACCACAGGAGATTCCTTCTTCGGTGACTGGGGCACCTCCTTACTCAATCCCACATCTTGCTTCTCCGATTCCTCCGTCAACGGCTTAGAATCCGACGAAACGTTGCTTTCCAACTTAATTGACTCCGGCTGCGGTTCGGACGATGCTAGAGCGCCTTGAGAATTGACCAAATCGTATGATACACCGCCATTTTCAGGTCCAGATTCTGAGATTTTATGAAAATTCTGCGAGCAAGTTTCCACTTTTGAAGGCTGATCGCTTTCGGCCTTCGCAGTTGATGGAATGGAGCTACTACGAACGCTGAAAATCGTCGGATTTTCGTCGTCGCACTTCACCGGCCGTGGTTTTTTCCTCTTCGGAGCTAGAATCGAAAAGTAAAATACGTCAGTTTAATCCTTGAAGCTCGAAACAAATTCAAACGCTTTTGGATGCTGAGAAAACAAGAGATGATAAAAAATTAAAAAAAAAATTGCTGGCACGGATTTCCCACGAACAAAAAAAGTTAGAAGAAAGAGAAAACTGATTGAACTATCAAAGCTCAGAGAACCCACCAACAACAGACAAGGAAATAACAGAAGAGCTGGAATTTTGAGGTGGAAGCGATGACGAGAGAGGCTGTGCGGATTGTGAATTTGAGATCGGTGAAGATATCCTTGACTTGGCATCATTGGAAGATTTATGTCCTTCACGAGAATCGCTGTTGGCCATGATTTCTTGCTTAGACGGCCCTTGAGGCTGTCTCATCATGCCGTACAACACTTCTGCGATCTCTATCTCGATCTCGTCTTGAGCTGCAGAAGATGACTTGGATGAGGATTTGGGGGGTCTGAACTTGGGTCCATTGGTCTTCTACAGCAACACAAGACATTACTTGTTAGTAACTAGCCATCAAAAACACAACACAACAGAGTGACAACCAGCGACAACTCACTATCTTTTTCCTCACTGAAGCATTCGACGACGATGGCGACGCCGGAGACAACGCCACCGAAGGCATGGTCGTTCTCACCGGCGAAGTGGAAGGCTGACGACGAATTTGGTCGGCTGCTATTGCAGGAGGGGAAGTCCAGAATTCGTGCGACCTCTTCGTGGAGGCTGAAGAGAGAAGAGACAAACAAAGGAAGAAGAACAAGTTAAAAGAAAATCTTCAATTTTTTAGAACACAGACTGAGCCAATTGAGTGAGTCCGTTTGGGAACCGTACCTGAGCGAGCCTTTCTGGGAACCGACACCCCGATCATCTCATCGGCGGTCTTCCAAGTAGGCGGCGCTGGTCTAAAAACTTTGGCCGGCGGTGGAAAGCTCTTCCGATGCAGCGACGGGTTAGGGCCGAGAGAAAGCATTCTAACGGAGGCAGCGCCTCTGTCGTCGTCGTCGTCGTCTTCTGGTTCATCGTTAATACTATCCTCTGAAGTATCTTCTCCGCCTTCTTCTCTGCTATGCATCACCCTGTCACCACCCCTCCTCCTCTTACTCCGCCCCAGTCGATCTCGATCCTTCTTCCCGTTACCTCCTCGATCTCTTAGCCTCGCCGTCTCATGCAGCTCCACCGCTCCGTCTTCCTCTGCAAAACAAAAACCACCATCATCAAAGTTTCTGAGATGGTTTTAGATCTGAGACTTAAGAGAGAGTGAGAGAATTTCGAACCTGGTGAATCTCTGTGGCTGTGGCTGTGGCTGTGGCTGTTGTTGTTGTTGTTAGTCCTGTGTCTTCTTCTAGCCAAACCATTTGCAGCCATAGTGCTTCTCCTACCTTCTCTATTCCTGTCCATTCCACGCCACCAAATCAGCTGCTGCACCCACAAGATCTATCTCTATCTCTTCTCTCATATCAGTGACAACGAAACCCAACCATAATCACCGCAAGTACACTGATTCATTCACAACCAAATTCCCAGACCTATTTGATGCTTTCAACATCACAACAGAATTTTCGTTTATCTATTCTTCTCTTGTTCACGCTCACGCTGCTGCTCCACTCCTCTCTCCCTCTTTTTGTGCTCCAATCTCATCTTCTTTCCGCTATAAACCCACTCCAAATCCTCTTGTGCGGTTACGATTCACTCACTTAATTCCATCATTAAATCTCTACCGTCCCCTCCCTCCGCATATATCCAACGGTTCTGCTTCTTCCGTGCCAACATGGCAACATCCGCACCGTCTCCTTTCTAACCTTTTTCCCCGTTCACCCCCACGTGTCGCTTCTTTCTTTCTTCCCAAGCTTCCATGTTTACTCGCTACTGACTTGGTACCATATTTATTCTATGAGTATAAATCTTTTTTTATGTTTGGTAACTAATAATTAATTAAGGACTGAAGAAAAGGGAACAGTTTATAATCTAATTCCATTGGAACTGACAGCAATGCTTGAGCAATAAGCTCTTCAAATTTCCAAAGGAGTTACTGTGACCGGATATAGCCGGTTACCCTGACCTTCTTTTAAACAAACACAACAATCACAACACATGGAATCTAGGTGACCGCAGAAAATATCGTTCCAACTAGTCAAATTCATTTTTTTGGTTTCCCGTTTTCTCTTTATTTATTTTATTTTTCAGTTTTTAATTATTATTTTATCAAAAAGACTATGGTATTGGGGCATTGGGCCCACGCAAGGAATAAACAATAAAAACATTCATTTTCTAATCTAGGGACCAGATCTTCCCGCTTTCAGTAAAACAACCTTTGTCCATCGTGGGATTAGATCCGACGTGGCTCTGCCACTCACTTAAAAACAAGCAGATTCCAACGAAAGACAGTCCGATCTGGCACCGAGCCAAGAGGCTCGGATGCGTCGATCACCGAGCCCGAATCGCTGCCGTTTAAGGCTTCTAATCTCACGGTCCTAATGATAGACGAAGCAAGGCGGTCATTGAATTTACCAGTGTGTGGGCCCTGATTATTATTTTTTAAATTTTTTATTGTCACATTGGCAATATGTGAGCTTTGCTGACGTGTACGTGGACCCCACTCATAAAAACTGAATGAAAATATATGAAAAAAAATCTAATATGCTATCATCGTATCTACATTCCACTTATAAAAACATAATACATCAATTGACATATTTTTTAAAAGAGGAACAAAAATTTAATATTATAATTATAAGAATACATAATTTGAATTTTATTTTAAACTATTTTATACCCGGCGCTAAATAATACTCTAATACTTAGAGATGTTCTCCAAAAAAGATGAGGCATCTGCGGTCAAAATTTACAACGCAGTTAAAAAGGGAAATAATGCTAAACCTAACGCAAACGCGACTCTCTTTTTTCACATCACGCGCCGGTCCTGATTTTAGTTAATGAACAGCGTGGCACTGTCGTTTTTCTAACGTGTCAAAAAAAGAGTCATACAGGTGGTGGTTGTTGCCGTGGTCATTCTCATTAATGAGCTCGGATCTTGTGATTGGCTACAACCTCTCCACTTTTGTTCACAAATCGAAGAAATCTTTCGGTGTAACAGCTTTACATTTTTATTAAAATGGAAAAAAAAAATAGGATTTAAAAATAATTATAAAAGAAAATAGAAAATAAAAATTCCCTTTTTAACATTTTAACAAATAGTAATCCACTAAAAAAAATTCCCACAAATCCAGGGATTAGGTAAATATATTCGTGAATTTATATTGTATGTAAGGGGAAGATAGCTTCACTGACTAGGTTGCTTTCCCAAGCTTCCTTTCCTTCAACTAGAAAAAGGCAAAGCTATTTTCACAAGTCTAAACTCATTTCACTTTTTCACGGCTAAAAAGAACAAATTTGAATTTCAGCTTGGAAATCGCCCTTATAGGAGAGAGTGTGTCAAAAATGGAAAATAAAAAAGCTATATATTTATCCTCATATATTTAATTTCATTAAACATTGTAAAAAAATGATAAATAGATGAAAGTAATTCAATATGTACAGGGTGATAGAGTTTTCATAACTATTATTATAATTGGTAATTAACATGAGCATTTTAAGATAATTTTAAAAATGTATATTAAAATAAAATAAATAGATGAAGAATATATGCATAGTGAATTTTAAAATTGAAAATATTTAAAACGAAAATTGAAAATGACATGAATTGATTTAAAGAGTTCTCTCTATAATATACAAAAATATTACTTACAAATTTATATAGATATATGATCATAATATCCTTTCAAATTTAAAAAATATTATCATTAAAAGCTATGAAATTAAAATTGAAAATGCATAAAAAAGATTATGAAATAGATAACGAAAATAGTAATTATTAATTAATGAGAAAATTAAAAAAAAAATTCTATATAAAAATATTAAAAATATAAACTAAAAAAAGGTGAGAAGTATTTTAATGATGATCTCGCATGTGAAGAAACGCAATATTGAGATATTATTCTACTTCAAGAATGAAAATCCTATTTCATTGTATAAAATTAGTGAAAAAAATTTCTCATGTTGCATGAGAATTCAACTCTCATGTTAGTGACTCTTTGATTTGCGTGCAAAGCTTTTCTTTTCTTTTTCTTTTTTTAATAAATATGGGACCCACTACTAGTTGAGCCACAACATGAGAATTGAATTCTCATGCAACATGAGAAAATCAAATTCCATACAATTAAATACTAAATAATGATAAATTTGGAATAAAGGATGACACGTCAGAAAGGATCCACTAGAGGAAATGGTTAAGCACATCATAATATATAGTTTCTCTCTCTGAAAAGGTTGTCTTTAGTGAGAGGCGGATTGATATCTCGCTATCGTAAAATCTGAGAGTGTGAAGCCATTGCCAGATGTCGAGGGAGACTTCTGCGTCAGATGGCCTCCGTGGCCACCTTTATGACCGTATACACTAAGAAACCCTAGCCGTCACAATAGCTAATAGCACCACTACCACTCTCTCCTTTATTAGTTACTTTTTTATTTAAATATTTTAAAATGAGTTTACTTTTAAAATTTAAAAACATTTGAATCAATGCTAACTCCATTCCAATCTTTTCCCATTATAATAATCTAAAGTAAATCAATGCTTTAGCTCTTGATTTAAATAAACCACTTACCATAACCTCGCTTAAAATCTTTCCAACATCTTCATTTATTAACTTGTTATTATTATATTCCTAGCCGTTCAACATTTTTTCAATAATTTAATGGCCCCATGCGTCTTTGTTTCTTTTTTTTTTTTCTCAGCATAAAATTTAATAAGAATGTTAATAAACTTTTTGCTATGATTCACAAAAATCGATTTGTATCGTTTAATATTTTAGAATTAACAGTTTTTAAAATTAATGTTACTGTGATCCAAACTAAGAGCCCGTTTGTTTCCCTTTTTAAAAAAATTAACTTTTATCTCTTTTTTATTTTAGAAGTCTTTTTAACAAAAGTTAAAGTAATTTATATTTTTATAAAAATATTTAATTTTTGAAAAAAAATATTGACTTTTAACTTCTGCTTTTTTTAAAAGTTAAAATTTTTAACTTCTGAAAAAAGTAGATTTTTATTTTTTTTATGATTTTTATTTTTTTTAAAAGTAAATATCCAAATAACTAAAATAGAGAAGTGCTTTTTTTCAAGAAAATAAAAGTTTTTAAAGAAAAAAAAGCCTATCCAAATGGCTAAAAAAGCTATTCTCTTTTTCAGTAACCTAAAAAAAAAAACTACGTCAGATAAAAACGCGTTGCGTCGATTGATTGAATTGCCTTTCCCTTTAAAAACCGAAGAAAAAAAGTATAATAAAAAATTATATCTTCACATTTACCCAACCGGTTGACAGCAGTGTTTTAAAATTCAGATCCGTGGTTGACTGGATTATTAGTTCAACCGGTTCAACCAGTTTTACTGTTCACATATTAAAAAAATATAAACATATTACTTATATTAAGAATTCATATATGAAAACTATTAATGAGCTTCGACAAATAAATTGATTTTCAATGACAATAAATATCATATATTTCTAAACTTCTCGTTCTAGACCACATCTTAATATTGGATTAAAATTGCAATATAAGTTAAATACACCTTTTGTACCTTGACATAACATGGATAAATTAAATCATGATAACAAATAGTAGGCATGAAATATACACTAAGGAGAAAGTGTCCACCGTTGATATGAGACCATTAGTGTTTATCTCCACTAAACTTATTAAGATCATTATAAGATACAACTAAATTACATAAACGGATTTCATTAATTCAAAATACCTTCTTATTTGCACCTTACTTATTAATCATATTTATCACAAAATATGAAATTGATTTAATTTAAGAGTTCTCATCAACCAAAAAAAAAATTACCAAAAAAAAAGGTCAACCAGTCTAACTCGGGTTAACTAGGTCACTGAGTCGTCGGGTCTCGGCCAAGTCAACCGATCCAAACCGAGTCGACTGCAGTTTAGGTCCAAATGACCACTCAGACCGGAGAATCCACCGAATCATCCAGACCCAGATTGACCCGGCCGATCCGAGCCGGTTTTTAAAATAGTGGTCGGGAGTGTGAGACTGGAGTCTTCTTTTTCATATTTAACATTACCTTCACAAAAATAAATTAAAAATCAAAAGGACGACATGTTAAGCCATTAGCAATTAGCATCGACCTAGTGCGGAGGAATTTAAATAATTTATGCGAGATTATAATTTTAAACCTCAATATTATTATTATAAAAAAATATTACCTTTTTATAAAAGATAATAATTGACTCCGAAGTTAAATTTACATTGTTATTGACACGGTACATTTCAAATCCCACTTTGTTTTTGTAATTTATATACTAACCGTTATATAGTCTTAAATAATATTATAAAATGACAGGTTTTTGACAAAAGAAATGTGAATTTTAAAAAAATCCACTTATTTAGTTCATTGATCAAATGTTTTATCGGACTAATGCAGAAAAAGGCTTTTAGATGGCTACGCGTTTAGTCGCGCACTTGACACTTGCGCATTTCTGATAAATCTGAACACGTTTGTATCAGGTACATGTCTGAACACGTCTATATCAGGTATATGTTTTTGACAAATCTGAACACGTTT